GAGTCAGAGGAAGGAAATGTAGAACTTTGAAAGACTTCCTGTCCATCTATGGAGAGAGGAGCTCAACCACTGACAGACATGCTGTTTCTATGGATGCAGAAACAACAACACTTCACACAACCAGTTGTTTCTCTTTTTCTCACATTTTAATTATCTTTGTTAAGCTGGTTAAATGTGTGGATGCATTTATTTGTTTGCTTGTTAGTTTGTTTTTTAGCAGAGTTAAACAAAATCTACTCAACTGATTTCCATAAAATTTTGTGGGGGTGGGACATTGACCCACAGAAGATGTGAGATAGGGCGTTTTTTGGTTTGCTACTTTTTTTGGACATTTTTGTTATTTCTCTATAACTCTAACCCTCCAAGTAAAAACCAGGAACTATTGAATTTAAATGTTGTTGTTTGTGAGTGCCAGTAGTTGTATGTTCTAGGAATTGTTTTATAAACAATGCAAACATATTCTAAACAAATGAATAACATATATGCTGACGTAGTAAAAGTATGCAATGTACAAATACTTGAGTTTAAAACGACTCAAGTTAAAGTTTAAGTACTGATTCAACCTCTTCTCAAGTAAAAGTATAAAAGTACAGGCTCAGAAATGTACTCAAAATATAAAGTAACAAGTTGCCCAATGAAGGTCATTTCTACCGACTGTGTCTGTGCAAAGCAAAGTGAGACTCATGTCACATTAAGACTATTTAACTTAAACCACACTTACTTTAACTAAATAAATAAAAATCATATACTACAAACAGGAGTTAAAGCCAGAATATATTTCAGAGCATTAAAGAGCATGGGGAATGTTTTGTTTTGTTTTTTTGCTCTGCCTTGTTGTTAACATTAGCTGATTATTCATTTTCTTCTATGTTGTTACTCTCTGCACTGCTCCTCTTCTCCACAGTTGAGTCTCCCTCTCATCTGTTTCGTCTTGATATGTCTTCCACGCACTGATGCTTTTAATTGTGTTGTACATTCAGGTTGAGATCTGTGTTGATGTTGGAAAGGCACTGGTCGATGATGCAATCTAAAAAACATAATTACCCTCAAATACATTTAAACAAGAGTAACAAACCTATTTTGAAATAGTTAGGAGTAAAATGTACAGATATGTCTGTTAAGATGTTGAGAAAGTAAAAAGTTGACAGAAAAACAAATACTCAACTAAAGTACAGACATCTACTACTTATCTACTTAGGTACAATGAAAAGGTATTTGTACTTCCCACCGCTGCTTGTATGATGTGGTGTCTTTTTGTGTTACTTTTGAATCCCTCACAAGCTTCACCTTTTTCTTAATCAGTCTACAAATGCACACGCACACACATGCAGCCTGTTCTTTATGAGCTCTGGGTGGGCTCATCTTTCTATCTTCCCTAATCATCATCATGTCCCCTGCTCCTGCTCTGACAAACAGACCTGGAATCAGTCCCTCTCTTTACAGACACGATGCTCTGACCACTGGGCTACAATAGCTGTTTGCAACTGTCAACTCCCCTCAGCCTAAAACCAAATAACAGGATTTGTCAAGAGCACGTTGAAACATTAACTTTTTGCTCTGCAGCATGGTCACAACAATTAGGGCTGATTGTGTGGGTCGGCTCAAATTGGGCGCAAATGTGTAATGTCTGTCACATGTCCTTTTTGAAACCAGAGGGGGCTTGTGAGAGCTGATGCTGTTTCCATGTGATGGATGTGTCTTCCCCACAGGGAGTTGATGTCTTATAGCTTTACTGTAAATGTTTACATTCCTGCATGCACTGATGCTATCTGCTAATAGTTTCTGGAACAAGCCTGAAGAGTCCTCTGGGTGGGATTATATGCTGTGTGTGTTTGTGTGTGTTTG